CCAGCCTGGGTAATTGGTTTTCCCCCATTAAAACGTTTTATTTTTTCATTTTAATTTTTTTATTTGCAAATATTATTTTTTAATATTAAAAAATATGTCACGTGGTATTTTTAATGGGTTAATGGCCAAAATTAACGGTCCGTCATGGCGTGACCCATTTTGAGTTACGGAATAAAAAGTTAGACACCAAAGTGGAACGAAAAAAACGTTAGCCACTGAACTGAAAAAACAGGCATACGTTAGGCACCTTTTGTATATTTAAGCCTAGATAAATATATGTTTAAAAGGTACAACTTTCTATATTTGCATAGGGATTAACTTTAAAGTTTTAGTGGGAAGTGAATCCCTAATTTAGGTAAAAACATATTAATAAAAAATATAATTTTAAAAATATATTTGATAATTTAATTTTTTTAGAGGCAACTAGAATCGTTATTAGATTCTAACACAGCTACACTACACCTATAGTACGCATCAGAGACTAATCTCACACCCTAAATAAATGTATCGGATTAAAAAAAATGAACTAGCAAATTTGGGAAGGGGAATTCCGGTTAGAGAATTATTTATTCATATAAAGTTGGAAACAATCTTTCCTGCAAATAAGGAAACCAATCCAGTAGATTTTTTAATATTCTCTGGTTAATTCCAATTTTTCCTGTAAATAAGGGAGAAAATCCAGGAGATTTCGAATATTGTCTGGTTAATTCTCTTACACGGTAATATAATTAATTTAAAGTTGGAAACAATATTTCTTGTAAATAAGGACACAAATCATGGAGATTTTGAATTCTCTCCAAAAACATGTCCCCTCAGCCACTCATAAATTCAAGAGAATTTGCATGTTACTTCTCATCTTGTGCACAGCATTTAACTAAAGCAAAAGAGAAAAAAAGAAAAGAAAAGACAGTATGAAGAGTTTCAAGTTGTGTGTCATATTCGTGTTGGTTCTTCTTTTTGCAGCAGGTAATTTACTCCGTTCTATTCTCTTTTGCTTGGCTTCTATCTGCATTCTCATAGGCTCTACCCTTTTAAAATATAGATAGAATTTGATTGTTTTTATTATATATATTAAACATTGTTGGTATTTTAATGCATGCAGAAAAAGAAGCAGCAGCAGAGAAAACATGCAAATCAATTATTGAAATTGAAGGTTGCATGGATGATTTTTGCTTGGATCAGTGCACCTATACGTATGGGAAAAAAGCTACAGGAGTTTGTGTTGATCCTGTTGACGCTAATTGCCAATGTACTTACCCATGTTGATTATTTTTTTCCTTCGAAATTGTTGCCTCAAGATGACCAGATTTTATTAATAATAATGTCATAATCCTATGAATTTATTGAATAAACTACATTTCTTTTTCAGCTATACTTTCTAGTTTCAAAACCCTAATTCCCTCCTGATGTTATTCTTGTACTTGTTCTTGTTCAAAACCTTCAACACAAACCATGAATACAATTACTATTAGATAATATCCTTCAATATCTCCAAAAATCTGACTTTGAGTAACATCCATAGCATGCTATGCAAAATGCAGAAGTACCTTGAATCACAAGCAACGTACTAAAAGGGAACTAGTACAATAAAGGTAATGCCACTATCAAAGATAACCTCTCACTCCATTTTGATAGAGTAAAATTTAGAACTCTATCAAGTTTAAGTAGAGCTGAGCAAAATTCTATTCGACTTGAAAAATCAATCTTTTCCGCTCGATTTGTCTTGAAAAATTTTACTCGACCTAAAAAATAATCCTTTCAACTCGACTTATCTTGAAAAAAAAAACTTGAATTGTAATTTTATAAACACAACTTGAATGCAAAAAAAATTAATTTTGAGTTTGTTATAGAATAAGACTAGAATAACTTGAATAATAACTCAAAATTTTTATAATTAGTGGATTGATTTTTTTTAAGTTTAAGTTGAGCCCCTTAACTTTGTATGATATATGTATATCACATACAAAAAATATGAAGAAAAATATATGTATTATATATGGAATAGAAAACCGATTAAATTGGAATCAAATAGCACCATAATATTATAAATATTTATAATTAAATTTTAAACAGAAAATCGAACAACTCAACTCGACTTGAAAAAGATTAAATTAAGTTTGACTTATAAAATAGAACTCCAACTCGAATAACTCAAAAATTTTAACTCGACTCGATCGAATGTTCACCCCTCCTATCAAGCATGGTTCAATGGGGTTTTCGCCTTACAAATTTCTTCTGCACTTTCTAAATCCACGTTTTAAGGTGTCTTTAAGGGAAACCAGATAAAAAAACTATATTTTTGGGTTTTGAACAAATAAAAAACAAGAGCAAAATAAGAAAATAATCTATGTTATTTTCCGAAGTCGGTTCAATTATGATTGTTGTTGTGAAATGAGACAAATTAACAATAAGAAATCGTAAATCAAAGGGAGAAAAAAGCAGAATGAGCACACAAGTTTTATACAGAAACCGTGGACGGGAAAAACTATGAAGGGAGAAGAAATTTATTATCCTTCAAATTGAATACATGGTAATATATATTTTAAAAATTCTAAACAATTTGATAATGAACTTTTATACACCTCTATAAACATCATGCTTGAACTCGAAACCTCAAGGGATAACAACAATCTTTCAACTATTAAGGTCGCTTGGTTCCTGCTCAAAGATCATATTACCATACCCATTATATATAGGGAACTTTTGATGTATGCACATGAGAGTGATTCCATCCCTTCAATAATTACCCAAAATTCATGGAACCCCATACTCAATTCAAGTAACATCTATAGCATACTATGCAAAATGCAAAAAAATAGGTACCTTGAATCACAAGCAATAGGGTAAAAAAACTACCCTCTGGTTTAAGCTTGTGGCAAAAAAAAGTGATGCCTCTGTCAAAAGTCTCAAAAACAATCCTATAATTTTCACCTCCTTTTATTTGGATGCCCCTCTAGCTTTGGCACCCTTTTCATATATATTATGATGAAGAATTTGATTATGTTTATTATGTATTGTTGGGATTTTAATACATGTAGAAAAAGAGGCAGCAGCAGAGAAAACATGCACATCAAATACTGAAATTGAAGGTTGTGATAATCCAGTTTGCTTGGAACAGTGCATTGATACTTATGGAAAAGGGCTACTGGAGTTTGTATTGATCTTGTTGGCGCTACTTGCCAATGTACTTGCCCATGTTGATTATTTTTTCTTCAGAATTTGTTCTCTCATTTGACCAAATTTTATTAATAATAATGTCAAAATCATATTAGTTTATTGAATAAGCTACTTTTATTTTTCAGCTATGCTTTTTGAATTTTGAATTAGTTGTGCGAACTAATGGAACAATTGCAAATTTTCGTATTACACTCAGCCGTTGAGAAGGTAAATAAGAATAATTTATAAATTAATTAATGAATTTCATAAGAATAATTTATAAATTAGTGAAATTTTCGTATTACAATTGCAAAATTCACTTTTTGTTGGAGATGGGAGCTTTTATGACTCTCTCTTCATCGTCTTCCCTTCATTTCTCTTCATTCTTATTTCTTCCTCTTCCTCCCAAGTACCATAACTCAGATGTAAGTTCTCGGGGACTTTCATACTTCAATTTCGTTCCTAAGCCCTCCAGAAACATCATTTTATTGATTCAAAGCCTTGGGTTCTTTGTTTGTAAGAAAAGTGGGGGTTTTATCAACCAAGTCTTGGTGGAGAGTGATTGCTAGATAAAAGAGCTTCATTTCGGGATTCTTTAACTAAGATAGTGTATTTTTAATCCTTCGGAGTGTTAAGGCTTTCATAAACGAAGAATTGCTAAGATTTGTGTATTTACACATTTTAGGGTTTATATTTGATTTCATGATTAAATAATGTATTAGATGTAAAGAATGTGTTTTTATGCTTCTTTAAGATCCTAAGTAATCTCCTAAACGTTTAGCACATGATTAGGAATCAAACTAACAAGGATAAATTCTCTTTTCTTTTGCATATTATTTACCGGTTCTCGAGGAGAGGAGATCCACTTAGCTCTGTGAGTCGACGTATGAAAATCAGCCATGAAGACTCGGCAACTCGGTGGCCCTGACTCAGCGATTTCGATCGCAACTATGCAAACAATTCCTCCAGCCACTCAACACTCTGAAATCTCCCGAGTTTAAGCTGACTTTCAAATTCAGATTCGGGTAATCGGGTTGCCATGCTCGACCCAGGAACCCGATAATTGAATCCGCATCCGAGCACACTGTGTGAAGCCCATTTTCTGATTAGACGAGGCGAAAATCTCTACCGATCCTCAGCATTCAAACCCATTCCAAGCACTTCTTTCCTTGGCCCGTGAACGTTTCTTGCAATTTAATTTGGGTTAATTCCATCGTTTTCTAAATTGGCCACAATGTTGTAGCTAAATGCCTACAATATGAAATACTCTTATATCAATTCTGTAATTACTTTTTAACGATCGCAATTGGATTTCATTAATAGCGGAAAAAATCAAATTTACAACGTATCAAAATATAGTGAGAAATTTAGAGACAATAATCACCAAAATACTCATATAAAAGTAAAATATTAAATTTAAAGATACAAAGAAAAATAAAATATTTCATTGAGAACAACGACCAACATTAAAACCTAATAACATTCGTAAAAGAGTGGAGAGCGAATCAAATAATCTGATATAATGTTTTACTACACAATTCTGATTACATCGACAAACAACTTTTTACTAAAAAAAATTGAGGATCTGACCGTAAATAAATGTATAATTTTTGTGCGAAAACCAGATAATCTGTCATTTTGTTGCCCCATTAGTTTACATTATTAATATCAGCTAAATTCTAACGTGGTATATATTCAGAACACATCCAATTTCAGTCTGTCAATAAATTTTCACTCTTCTCTCCGTCTATTTAGCAACACTGTATATTCAACTTGTCAAATATATATATATATCGAGAGAGAACATAAACATAAGTTTTAAATAAAAGCTATGAATCACTGCATAACATAATAACTACCCAATCGCCTAAGCCCTTTCACGTTTACTTTCAACGTTTCAAAGCTTCTCCCCGGGGACGAAAAGCAAAGGTTAAGTTATAGCCACTGAGTTGTTTCTATTTACTTCGCATGTTATCTTTCTCACTGTGATTGTCGCCTTAGTTTAGATTTTTAATCGTTTTCGTTTTCTCTATGTAAAACATTATACTGTATCACCTGTTGGGTTTCTTTGAATCGTCTGCCATTTGTTTTGTTTCCAAGTTTCGAATTTCGACTTTCAATGGTAAACTGTTTCGTTTTTGTATGCAAAAAAAGGGGATCTGGGGTTGCTGTTCTTTGATGCTATTTACATGTGTATGTCAGTATGTGTGCCATTAAAGTGGGTTTCTGTTTATGTTTCCACTATGTGCATCTTTGTGGAGGTGATCGGTTGATGTACGCTTGTTGTTCTGTGTATCAATGGAAGAAGAGGCTTTGGGCAACCGGGTAATGTAATTTATGGGTTTTAATTGACAGTTCTCCAGGTTTCATACTAGTGCTCTGCACTTTGAACATGATGTTTGAGGTTAACTAGTAATGTACAAAGCATTTCCTCTAATGTGCCTGGATAACTAGATTGATATTTTAGGTTTTCTGTTTTAGAAAGCATGTTCCCATTTCCCCCAAGATTGGAATCTTTATGCTGCTCGAAACTATAGGAATGTTCGATTGCTTAACATTTCATCTGCAAATTTATCAGCTATGCATCCCTTTGTTTGAGCTATTTCTTGGATATTATGACTGTTGGTGCTTTTGAATAGCACCCTTTAATTCTTTGATCGAATTCACTACATTTCATCTTCTTTGAGCGGTGTTCTATCGTTTCTATACCCGAGTGCCAGTCTAAGTTTTCATTTTATATGTCTCATGGTCTAAAGTTCGCAGTGGTTTTCTAATGAGTCTGGTATTTGGTGGTTTGTTCTTGAGCATGTAACAGATTCCTTGTTAATTTGTGCCCATATGTTATATCTTTAGCTGTTAGCTAGTTGCAGTTGAGTTTATTTCTCTCTTCTTTCCTACTTTTCACAGATGGAAACAGTCCAGGTGGATCCTAATTGCAACCTCGTTGAAGAAGCATCTCCTGAGTTGTTGCTTCCACCAGATTCTCCCGATATAACGGATATATTTGGCGATCCACAATTAAGTCCGAGAGTTGGTGATGAATACCAGGTGGAAATTCCTCCTATGATAACAGGATCTGAGCATCTACGGCTTTTGATGGACCCTCTTGACTCGGAAGACATTCCTTATCTTGCCCATTTCTTTCTGTTAGGCTTACCTGTCCCTGTCACGTGGACCCATGAACAAGATACTGATTTCGAGAATGAAGGCAAGGGAGGTCCGAGTAAGTTCAGTGATGAAAGTAAGGTGGACAAGTCTGTCACATCGAGAAAGAGCAGGGGCCAGATTTCTAAGAGGAAGAAAATTTTAGAACTAAGTGCTGAACAGTCAGATGTTAGGTTGTTCGAAGAAAAAGAGTCAAATGCTGAGAACCTTGAATGTGGAATGTCAAGTAAAACTATCTTATTTCGATCATGTGAAGGTAAAAGGTCTCATCTAATTCCAGGTTCATCAGGTTATTCCTGGAGTGATACAGAAGTGGATGGTTTTCTTCTTTGTTTATATATTTGGAAAGGATTTTAGGCTGATAAAACAATTCATTGAAAGCAAGGAGATGGGGGATATATTGTCATTTTACTATGGGGCATTTTATAGGTCTGACAGATATTGCAGATGGTCAGATGGCCAAAAAAAAATAACTCGGAGAAATGTTTATGGACGGAAAATCTTTACAGGCTGGAGGCAGCAGGAACTGTTGTCTCGGTTGCTCACCCATGTCCCCGAAGAATTACAAAATGATTTTCAGGAGGTAAACCAGATTTCTCGTATGTGCTTATTTATCACTCACATGGATTCAACCAAATGTTTGTTAGCTGCATGTCGAATGATAAAGTACCAGTTCAATGTATCCTAGTTGATGCTGTGTGCACTATGCTGATTATTGGTGTAAGACATCAATTTTTCTATGGTTAACTTTTCAATATGTTTTAGTTTTAATAGGAGTGTCGAATCCATTCTTCCAGGACTAGCCTCCATTGCTTAAGCAAATCTGCTCTTGTTCCAATCTATTGTAGATTACAGAACATTTTCAAACGTATGTTCACTCTTTCAGTCCTTTAATCTGAAGTAGGATGCTTCCATGGTTTCAATGCATGATTCATGTCCATTTTTCGAAATAATCAGTTATTGTTTCTCCTCTACTGGTAGCTGTTATTTATCAAAACAGAAATGCTTACAAGTTTTCTTAAGAATTGTCTCGCATGGTCCTTTGGTCAGCATTGATAAATAATCAGAAGACATTAGTATAATCTTCTAGTTAGTTGCTGAAAACTATTGATCACATTTGTAAACTAAGGCTGTACAATCATTACCCTTGTATATGCCTTTATTGTGCTTGACCGAGTTTCTTAGTCCGTCACTCTTATATTTCATCATCTATTCGCAGGTCTCTAAATCATTTGTGGAGGGGAAAACTTCACTTGAATATTATGCCTTTCATTTAAAGACTAGTGTTGGCATATGTGCTCTTGTCGATGCTGTAGGTCTTAACAAGGGGAAATCAGATCTTACAGGCATGGCCATGGAACCTCCGAGGACCACTCAAGCGTCCTCCGAAATACCATCTGGGAAGGCTTGTTCATCTCTTACATCGGGTGACATCATCAGGTTTTTAACTGGAGGCTTTCGATTGAGCAAAGCTCGATGCAATGATATTTTCTGGGAAGCTGTTTGGCCACGCCTACTTGCAAGAGGGTGGCACTCCGAGCAACCTAAGAATCAGTGCTCTGTCAGTTCCAACCATGACCTAGTCTTTCTTATACCTGGAGTGAAGAAGTTCTCAAGAAGAAAACTCGTTAAGGGAAATCACTACTTTGATTCTGTTAGTGATGTTTTGAGCAAAATTGCATCCGAGCCTATGCTTATCGAGCTTGATGCTGAAGGAAACGGTATTGGGATCTGCAATGAAGAAAATGGATGCCTTCCAGGAGAGTCATCGGATGAGGACGATTCTCCTAATCATAAGCCTTGTTATCTCAAACCCCGAGTCTCCATTTCGAGTTCAAACCATATGAAGTTCACAGTCGTTGATTCCAGTTTGATGCATGGAGGAAAAGCATCTAAGATGAGAGAACTGAAGTATGCACCAATTGATTTGATGTTCACTTCCAAGCTAATGCAGAAGGATGTTCAAGATTCACGGAAGGTAAATTCTAACCGCTTGCTGTCAAAAGGTGACAAGTGTGCTACTAATGCTCGCCATCGTGAGGGCAAAATAGCTAGCTCTACTACAAGCCACAGTAAATTCACCATTGTAGATAGCAGTTTGCTCCATGAAGGAAAATCATCCGGGGTAAGAGAAATCAGATGTTTACCTGTTGAGATTGAACTTTCTTCCAAAGTTAGCAACTCTTCAGGAGGAGATGAAGACAATTCAAGTGATGATTCTTCCGATGAGCACAGGCAAAAGTTTACTGATAGACTATCAAGTCATGGTTCAGTTGCCACGGATACAAAGCCTGGTAACAAGCCAGTTACTGCTAGTAATTTGTTGAAAGGCTATATGAACAATGGTAAGGGTAAATATGACAATGACTGTTCAAAACAAGATCCAAAGGTCTCGTATATTGCAGACCGGGATTTGTTGATTCATCAGGAAGAGAAGATCAATACATCAGAAGATACCAGGCCAAAGCAGATAATAAAGCACCAGTTCAGTCGAAGAGCTAAATCTAGTAATGCCGTTAATATAGTTCCACCGGCAAAACGAAAGAAATTAACTGCTTTTGCTAATATGGAGACTAGTAAGAAATCTGCCGCTTTGTCAATTGATTTAGCTTCTCCTATGAAACAACAAAAGTTAACTGCTTGTTCTAAGATGGATAGGAGTCATCTTACTGAGAATATCTCTGGTAATTCAATACATTTAGTTTCTCCTATAAAGAGACAGCGATTAAGTGCTTGTGCTAAGACAGATCGAAGTTGCCTCACAGAGAAATTTTCTGTCGACACTAGTGAACAAATGGGGCAATGCAGCAGCAATTGTGTTCCTGATTCGAGTCATTTCTATGGCAAAGTATCATCTGTTAGTTCTTCTGCCGAAGGCAATCCAGAATCTATGGAGACTCCTCAAGGGAGTAGCGAGAAGCTTCCATCTCTTTCATCGATTAGTTCAAGCCCACCCTTGCTTCTTCCAGAAGCTCGGAATGGTGAACCAGGTGGGATGGAAGCCAATTGTAGCCAGTTCAACATTATCAATAATCGTGTTGATTTGTTGATGACTGCTAATAATGTTTGTGCTAAAGAGCAGCAACCTATTGTGAACGCCCAGAGGCAAAGCAAAAGAAGCAGACCATCAACCACTAGAGCGTTGGAAGCTCTTGAGAGTGGCTTCTTCAACATGAGTAGGTCACAAAAAGTTAGAAACGTGCGAGCACAAGCAATTCAGTTTTCTACTCCTTCCCGAAAAGCACGCAGTAGAGTCAAAGCAACATCAAAGCACGTGAGCATTGGCACTAAAACTGAGGATGCAAAGGAAGGAAAAGACACCGATGGTGCATTTATTTGTTCCAAAGATGTTGTGAACAATCCTCCTCAAGTGGATAGCTAGCAAATATCATCAAGTTATTTCATTTACCGACATGCCGCGAGGTCCATTGGCTGATGGATACTTCAAAAATCTCCAATAGAGAGGTATGAGCTTCCATTTTTTTTTCTTTGCGCATGGTATAGACCAGCATATGGTGATCCCTTTCGAGAAAAAAAATGAAACATCAGCTTTTGGTACGTTACTATTAGAAGCCATTTCTGGACAAGCAATTGCATACATCAAACATCTTTCCATGGTATTTTTGTCCTTGTCCACTCATTGAGAGGTTTCATGGTATTTTTGTCCTTGTTCTTTCAGATGTTAACGTTTAATCAAAGTTTCTAGTTCAGTTATATTTCGTTCCTATAGCTAAAATAGCATTGATCAGTACAATTTCCTTCCATGAATGCTGAAGGTTTTATTTATTTGACCTGGATTACATGGATCCACCATTGTTTTCAATCTCATTCTTTCCTTTTGCCTGTTTTTTCCCTGGAGATCAGTTTGCATATTCAAATGCCATATCTATGTGTCTAGGCATTGGTTCGACTCGAGTCAGTGAAGGGGTTGAAGAGCATATTTAATTATATGTGTATATATTTGTATCTTTCATGTACTTTTTACGATCCATACTTGAAGTCTAGTACCAATGAACTTTAGGATCAAAACTCAAGACCCCATTTCTATAGGATGGTTTAGGGTTACCCGTATCTTTATCCAACTAAGATTTGCATTTGGATGAGGATAACTGAATTATGTTTTTTATCTTGCAGTTCAATAAATATATAGGTTAAATCACGCGCTTAGTATCTAAACTATCATTTTTGGTCTTTTTAGTACCTTAACTTTCATTTTTTCAGAACTATACATAATGTTTAGTTTTTGTTTCATTTTAATATCTCGTCATTTAAAACTTAATTGACGGCTGATGTGACAATTTTTAATAATTTTAAAAAAAAATTAAATTATTATTTATATTATTATTTAGTTAATCAACACAACCCTAATACCCTTAAAACGATAACCAAACGGTGATAAGCATAATAGGGAAGAGAGAAAGCTGGCAAGCAGAATAGAGAAGAGAGAAAGAAGACTTCCCGGTGTTTCGCATCTGTGAAGCTCGAGAACGATGATAGTGAATAGTTGAAGAACAAAAGGAAACAAAAATCAGCAAAACAAAGGAAAAGGAAAACAAAAACAAAAAGGGTGAACCTTTGGGTTCTCGACGGTGATAGCTTCGATGGATGGATTACCAATTCAAACGGTGGACCACGAGAGAATGACGAGCTGACTAATATAGTCCAATTTCAGGACCATTGGACGGTGGACCATTGAGATCGGAGGATGAAGAAATCAAAGAATCCATCGTCAATTTGGGGAGCTTGATAATTGTAGAATGTGGCGGCCGACGAAGCTTTTCATCGGTTTCTGGGTAAAATTAAATGATAATTTATTTATTTTTTTAAATTAAAAATTTCACATTAGCCCATCCGTTGAGTTTTTAACAATGATGTATTAAAATGAAATAAAAATTAAACGTTAAGTATAATTTAAAAAAAATAAAAATTGAAGTACTAAAATAAATCAAAACAGATAGTTTAGGTGCTAAAAGTATAGTCTCGTGTGTGTATATATATATATAAGGCCATCATATTTCAATGATTGCTATTTTGAATTTGGTAGACATTTTAGATTTCTTTTTGCAACTTTCTTTTAATCTTTATTGTCACCATTATTGAACCACATGCATTAATCCCCCACTCCCCTTTTCTCCCGTTGGTAAGTATGAAATTTCAAACAAAAAGAGTTACACGTATTCTCAAAAGTGTTTTCCTTTAACTTGAAAGAAAAAACTGTGCTTGTTGATCAAATGGTTGGCATTATTTATTTATGCATAAAGGGTCGGATTCAATTACATTTTGTAAAACTCTCTTTTAAATTTACATGACCATTGGATGAGAGAAATTAAAGGCCGAGATTATCTCAACCCTTGATTTCCCTAAATCCAATGGTCCTGTAAAACTAAAAGAGTTTTACATAATGGTCATGTAAACCCTAAACATAACTCTAAAACAAATATAATTTAAAAAAAAGTTAATAATTTTATAGGCCAAAATGCATGTTTTTTCTTTCAACTCCCAAAAGGAACGAGTTAATGCCAAATATCATTCGGCTTTGGTCCCCTATCCCTCTTTTCTTTTTTCCATGATCAATTAGTGCTCAAAGAATCCAAGATGAATGTTAGCATTTGAAACGAAAAGCAATATCTATTTATATATCATAGTAAACGTACATTACAATTCTTTTATAATTATAAGTGAGAGAAATTGTTAGAGTTTGTGATGTGAATTTTGTTTGATTTTATTCGAAAAGTGTGGTGCATTTATTCGGTGAAGAAAAAAATTGAGAGAAAAAAATGTCGATGTACGGACGAAGAAGAAATTCTCGAACCATTTTTATTCAACTATAGTTATTTTATTCAAATAAATAAACGGAATAGGATCTAGATACACAACGTAAAACTTTTTAATTTGACATGGATTTTAAAATCGTTCGATGAGTGAAAATAAACCGTATGAAATGAGAAAAATAAGTGATTAAGGGGCAAGGGCTAGAAAATCATGAGAGACAAGAGTATCTTTGAGTTATGCTTGAAAGTAGCTTTTGCCTTGATTGCATTCATTTACACTTTTCGCAAAAGAAAGGAAATTTGATGCGAAAAGTCTTTATTTTTCAAAAAGAAAAAAGCAAAAAGGTCAAGTGAAAGCTCATTGCCAACTTAATATGTTCATTTACTATGGTTAATATTTATATATTTTGACGTCAAATTAAGATTAAATTCATTATTTTTTAATATATTAATAATTATCAAGATTCATATGTGTGGACCTTACAACCTATGAATTGTGAAAATCACATTTCTAATAAGTGGTTAAATTTGTAATGGATAATAATAAATAAAATATAATCGAGGAGAAATATGATCAACTGATCGCTTTAAATATCAAGGATTTTAAAGTTAACTAATTATACGATGGTTTAGCCTGATGAAATATTAGGTTTTTTAAATAAAGTAAGAGACCCAAATAGTGACGTTTTGAACGAAGAAAAATGGGTCGGAAGGATTTATCTCCAAATGAACCTTAATTTAAAGTATATGATCTAGATTATCCGACTAATAAATCTGGTATCAAATCATACCAACAATTCAATTTGTATTACACACACGTACCTACGCGTAAGGAGATCAAAGAAACTTGTCAACTTCTAAAACCTTGTAGTTCTTAAAATGGTCTATAACCCTTTTGATAATACTTCAGTTGTCTTTTTCTTTAGATTTAATTAGCCAACAAAACGTTGTTTACCAGGAATATTAAGACAAGACAAGACAAACGAGGTAGATCGACGTGTCGTTGACATGCAATTAAAATAAAACACATACTCAAACTTTGGGTTATTTGATTATACTGAATAATTGTCTTCTTGTTGCCTCATTTTCTAGAACTTGATTAATAATGTTCGACAATTGAGTTTAAATTAAAATTTCGTCGGTCCAAATATAATATATGATATGTAATTGAAAGCTTTGGCAGTGGGCATGCTTTGGTGACCATTTTGGTCGGCGGATGGAGATATATATATATGGCAAAAGCTTTTACTTTAGTCACTTGATGTTTGATCCCAAGAGATTGAATTGATTTACACGCTCATCAAACTGAACTAATAATAATTAATGGGTCTCCTCTCCTCTTCTTTTGAAGATTAACGATGTCAACTAAAAGTTAGAGTAATTACAACTGACAACTGTCGGTCCATAATAATAAATGGATATCACTATTAAACTTTATTGTTAAATCATTGATCTTAAAAATTAATAATTTAATGGTTTATATGCAATAAATTAGAAACAAAATTTGTAAGCTTGTGAACTCCCTAATTGATTTCAGTAGTAAAATTGAGTGTTGTTCTCTCTAATGATCTCGGATTCGAATAACTACGTAATCATTTTTTATTTTCTAATTTAGCTAAGTAGGGAATTCAATGGATATATTTTTTTTCTTTTGTTCTGGTTGGTTTCAATGATGTCTTGGGTGATTCTGGGGATGATTTCAAGTTAAAGTTTATTGTACCAAATCAGTTGGTAGAGCGCAAGGCTCTTAACTTTGTGGTCGTGGGATCGACTACCACGGTGGGCAATTCATAATTGTCGGAGGTCTTCCACGGAAGTTGCTCTCAACCTAGCGTTGGGAGCAACCTACTACCCTACCTCCCCCTTACCCCATTACATATGAGAATAGGGTCAGCTAATTACTATGGTTGGAGATGGTGGGTGTGCAACGGTGACGAAGTTCATAGAGTCAATAATTTTGGGGTCGATTTGGGTAAAGATTTTGGTGGTGTTGTGTCGAGTTCGAGTTTGAATCTCAAGTGGTACGAGAAGTAGTTGGTTGGGCATTGGTGAACGGTAAAGAGTTGAGGAAGGATTGCGGTGGTGTCGGGTGTTTAAGGGTTTAATTGAGAGATTTTAAAGTGTTTAAGAATTAAATTAAAAATTAACTCTTTTTAATGGTTTAGATGAGAGATTTAAAAAAAATAAGAATTAAATTAAAAATTAACTTTTTTTAATGTGTTATGTCATCAAAATAATGGGAGTAGATAACTAATTGATGATATAAGTGACTAAAATATAAAAACTAAAAGACGAGTGACCAGAATCAAAAGAAAAAAATAAAACAAAAATGATGTCCATCCATAAAATATATTGTTAAATTGAAATGTTCAAGGACTCGTTAGATTGCTCATATGATTGAGACAAAAAGGTTTTAACTATATTGTTAAATTACATTTAGCTAGTTGTCGCACACACGTATATAATTATTAAAAGTTACACAATGATTTCAACTATTAATTATGTTCGAAACTCATCATTTTTTGTTAAAGTTTTAATAGCAATCTGAGTTGTACATCAGTTTGTTGATTGAGATATGATAGAATCTGACCTCATAATCTCAAATGACTAGCATATCTCAGTTAACATGTTAATGTCCAACTCAGACGACCGTTAAATTTTTAACGGAAAAGGACTAGTTTGGAATATTATGAATAGTCGAGTGATCATTTTATAATAGTCGAGAGACTCGACAAAACAACTCCCTATAATCGATG